ATCCAGATCGAACTTACCACGAAAATGGCAACTTTCTGGGAAACCAGACTTTCCCAAAAACCGAGAGGAGGACGAAGGGAGAAGAGACTTTGATTTGAATTGATGCGAATATCCACCAGTGGCCGTGCCCTAAAAACCAAATTAATTTTGGGATTTTTCGCGGTGGCTTACTGGCTCTCTTTCCTTCTGCAACACTCTGGAAAAACAAAACCCTTATACAACTCGGGTTGGATCAGCCCGAATCAGCCGAACTCTCCAAAACCCAATATTTAACCCGCTTTGTTGTGTTCTCAATCCTCTCATCTTACCTTTTTTTAAGGCTTATTTTGGTAATGCCTCGTCCAACTCAAACTTAATTTCATTGTATTTTCGCCAATATCGTCGCTTTACACTTTAAATCTCGATTTTGCTCCACTTTAGCTATAATCCGTCTCTATCATCCAAAGTAGTGTCAAATATGCTAATATGTAAATTGCACGGTTGCGTTTGGTACGTGGAAAGAAATTCATGAGAAATTATCTCCTATTTTTTTTCTTAGAGGAAGGGAAATGCAAAATTGTTTTCTCATATATTTCGTAACAATAGGAAAGTAAGTAGGAAAGATTTTTTTTGGATTCCCGTGGAGAAGGAAAATAAATACTAAAGGGTGAAGGGTAGGGATGGGTAACGGTTATGGCAAGCGGGTAACCGCGGTTATTTACCTATAACCATTTATGTTCATACCTGCATAACCGTTTACTCGTTGGATAATTATATAAACAATTATACTCATACCCATAACCATTTATAAACGGTTAACCATACTCATAACTGTGTATCCATTTAACCATAACCGTTTATCAATTTAACCATAACCATATACTCGTTTACCTGTTTTTGAACTCGTTTATCTTTTTTTTTACCCATTTACCCCTTTTTCACATGTCTACATGTTTTTTTTTAACAACTTGAAAATTACAAAAGAAAAATTTGTCGTAATTTTCGTTTTTTGACAATTAAACACTGTTATAGGTACATTTTAGCATGCATTTCCCTATTTTAATCATTTAAGTCCTCATACAATTCCAATAATTGAAATAATAGTTTACGAACGATATTTTTCTGATACACCCAAGCAAGTCTTTAATTATAATTCATATGATTACAAAGTAAAGCTTCTAAAAACAAAAAATAGTCATTATCTTGAATACGAGATGATTCAAAGCTCCAAATATTCCGAAACTAAACACTTTCGAACACTAATGTTTTAGCACGTTAATCACAAAGTCTCATCGATTTATTGTCACCAAAAAAAGCCTACAAAATAAATGAATTACATAGCATCCCAACAAGAATTTGATTTCCTAGAAGCAATATGATCACACACACACACCTACCTATAATGGATTCATTTGAATAGAGGCAAAAACCATGGAAATTATATTATAAGCATTCATAAACAAATAAATCAATAATCAATCAGATAAGTATGAAATCAGAAGGGTAAAACACACCTTGAGGGGCGAGGAGAGAGAGATGAACGACGAAGATGAGAGAGAGATGTGCGACGAGGAGAGAGAGATGAGCGGCGTAGATGAGAGAGAGGGCGGCGAAGATGAGAGAGGGGGCTGCAAGGAGAGATAGATGAACGGAGGAGATGAGAGAGAGGACAACGATGAGGGAGAGATGAGAGGGGGATGATGCGTTTGAGACTCTGAGTCTGGTGGAGAGATTGAAAATTTAGGGTTTTTATTTTTATTTTTTAAAAATTTTACATATATGAAATTAAATGGGTAAATAGATATCAGTTATAACCGCGAGTAATACCCATAACCGTCCATTTAAATTTCACGGATAAATGGTTATACCCATAACCGTAACCGTGAATTTTAAATGGGTGGGTAACCGCGGTTACCCAAACCTATGAGTATTTTGCCCATCCCTATTGGAAGGTTTCACTTTTCCCCTATTTTTCATAATGCAGGAAATCATTTCTCAAAAGGCTGGGGTTTTCAAACAGGGGAAAGAGCTAGGCGGCCACCTGGGTGGTCTTAGGTGGATTTGGTTTTTTTATTTTTTTATTTTATTAATTGTGTGCTTTTTTATTTTTTTAGTTTCATTATGTTATACTTATATAAATGGTGTACCTAATTTGCAAATGATGGATTGACTACAAGTTCATCAAATTGTGAAATGAATTGGAGAACTTTTGAGAGGATACATACAAAAAAGAAGAAGAAATAAACTAGATACAACAACTTCAAATAGTTTAGTCTATGTCTAATCAATGCAAGGATCATGAACAAGAACAACAACTTCAAATAGTTTAGTCTATGTCTAATCAATGCAAGGATCATGAACAAGAAGAATTTAGTCTATCATCTAAGAATACTCCTCATTATGATTATATGCTTACTATTTCTTAAATATTGAACTTGTTGGATGGATGTACTTTGTGTATTCTTCTACTTCTATTTTTGCATTATATCATTATTCTATTAACTAGATACAACAACTTTAAACAGTTTAGTCTATGTCTAATCCAATGGAAGGATCATGAACAAGAAGAATTTAGTCTATCATCTAAGAATACTCCTCACTATGATTATATGCTTACTATTTCTTAAACATTGAACTTGTTGGATGGATGTACTTTGTGTATTCTTCTACTTTTATTTTTGCATTTTATCATTATTTTATTATCCATATAAGTATAATTTTTTTTAGTGTAAATAGACACTTATTTATAAGATATATAATAAATTTACATAAACCAGCCTAAGCCTCTTAAGCGCCCACCTAGCCGCTTAGGAGCTAGACCTGCTGCCTGACTAACGCTTGACGTTTTTTAGAACCTTGCTTGTAAGAGAGAGGTCATAAGTTCAATTATCGCCAAAGGTGAATTTGAACTACATTATTATGGCTAACCCAGTGTGAGGTTTGGCTCACTCCTCGCCCTATTAGAGTAACTCCACCATTGCTTATTGCCTTGGGGATAAGCAACCCAATCCACTATCCTCCCTCCCTAAGACATTCTAGCCCACTCGGGCAATTGAATCCAAAGGTAGCCCGATGAAGAAGTCAGACAATAATCGCCTAGCCTAGCCCTGTGTAACATCCCACATCACCCAGGGGAGTGATCCTTAAATGTATATTCCCATCCCTACCTAGCACGAGACTTTTTGGGAACTCACGAGCAACTTCCTAGTGGGTCACCCATCATGGGATTGCTCTAGCCCCCTTCTCGCTTAACTTCGGAGTTCCTACGAAACCCGAAGCCAGTGAGCTCCCAAAAGGCCTCGGGCTAGGTAGGGATGATAATATACATTTAAGGATCACTCCCCTAGGTGATTGTGACATCCCACATCCCACATCACCCAGGGGAGTGATCCTTAAATGTATATTCTCATCCCTACCTAGCACGAGGCCTTTTGGGAGCTCACTGGCTTCGGGTTCCGTAGGAACTTCGAAGTTAAGCGAGAAGGGGGCTAGAGCAATCCCATGATGGGTGACCCACTGGGAAGTTGCTCGTAAGTTCCCAAAAACAAAACCGTGAGGGAATGGTAAGCCCAAAGCGGACAATATCGTGCTACGGTGGTGGAGCGGGCCGGGGAAGTGATCCGTCCCGGGCCGGGATGTGACACCCTGCCTATATGACGTAATGCTAACATCATGATGATGTCAGCCACAATTTAAATTATAAAAAACTAATTAGAAATATACAAACTTATAATTTTTTCTATAAATACTTAACCATGTTATTCCACTTTGTACATTTCAATATTTTCAAATACTTTCAACCAATCTTTTATTATTATTTGAAATTAAAAATAAAGTTATCTTTTATTATTTTAAAAAATACTAATATTTTAATATGAATTGCTAAGGCAATTTAGTTTAGGGGTACAGTTACACTTGGGTAGTTACTGTTCATTGCAGGCAATTATTCATTTAAGCGGATTGAGTTACTTATTGCTCAAGGAGCCTTCCTACACTGGAAGTGTTTTTAGTATAGATACTATCGTTTGTTAAAAAAAAAAAATACTACATATTTATAAGGCGGTGTTTAAGCAATTAACTCATTTTATCGTTGACAATCTTGTCACTCATGTCTCTCTAATGTCAGTCCTTCTATTTTAAGTTTTAACATATTTATCATGTTTCAAAAATGACCACCAATTTCCCAAGGGCGTGCACACACATCCTTTTATAGCCTTTAAACGAGAGAATTTTTAGTGTGTTCAACAGGAAGTGATACATCACATATAACTATGTAATTAGATGGCTATTTGAAAAAAAAATAAAAAAATTTCCAACACTTGTATAATAACATGTGGTGTACCGTCTGTATTCTGGACACCTTAAAAATTCTCCCATCTTTTGAAACTCTTAGACCTACTCCAATCCTTAAAGTAAAACTCAAACTTTAGGTTATAAACTTACTCCAACTCTTGGGGCAAATATGAATTAAAACTCAAAACTTATTTCTGGGTCAAATTTAGCCCACGATTTCCCATTGGATTAGTTGGGTTGGTCCATCATATATGTATATTTTTTTTTAATTTTATATTTATAAATTCATTGAATCCAACGATTAAGATATAATTTGATGAAATCCAACATTAAAAAAAAAAAAAAAATCTAACTGTCCAAATTTAAATTCAACAGCTAAAGTAATTAAATAAAAAATTCTTTTATATGTTTCATATTATTTCATAGTGTTTCACGAGTTTTATGTTGTCAGTTAGTGATTTTTCAATATTTGTCGGAATCTAAATAATTTTAGGTTAAAATGTTCATAAAATTAAATTAGGATAGTCTACATAATTTTTTTTTCCTTAAAAAGGTTACTTTAAGAAAAAAAAAAGAAGCTTAAATTCATTATTTAATAATTTGGGACTAAAATTTTAATCCAAAATGGTTGGAGAAAAAAATACTGTTTTTGGTTAAAACCTATATTTACTGAGTTAAAAAGTTTAGATTTTAACCAAGAGTAGGAGATGGTAAAAGAAAACCAGAAACAAGAGGGAAGACAGAATTGCCGCTTAAAATTTTGAAACGCAAATTGCCTTTTGTTGATCACTCACAGGAATCAAGAGTGCAGTGTCGTCGTTCTACTCTTCCCTCCCACTCCCAGTCGCAAATGTCGGAGCCTCAGCAGCCAATCGTCCTCTCCGACGAAGAAGAAGACCGAAATGCGCTCTCTTCAACCCCTCCATTTCAATCATTCCACCACTCTAAGAGACGCCGAACAGAACTCGTTCCATACCCGAATCCTCCTCCTCCTCCTCCTACCGTTCTCGTCCTCGACGACGACGACGATGGTCCCACCTCCTCCCGCTACTTGGTCCTCGATGAGTCTCCATGCACAAAAGCACCTTCGGACTTCCAAACCCAAACTAGGGTTTCACATTCCCAACACAAATTCTCCGGTTGGCTGTTTGATTTCTGTTTTTGTTTCAACTACGGTTTCCGTAACACTAATTGTGAAATTGCTTATTACTTGCCATGTTCATTTTGTTCGAAAATTACGTGTTTATGCATTCTCTGCTATGCTTTGGTTGGTTTGAATTATATTATGATTTTGTAGAATTGCATTTTCTTTGGCTAAACTTGGTTAAATTTGGTCATAGAGGCGTTGTTTTCTTTTCATTCAGGCACCGATGGATTGGTATGCTTGGAATCTGATGATGAGTGTGAAAGTGGTTGTGGAAGGGGAAGGGAGAAGGAGAATGAATCAGCTGCTGGTGTTTCTGGTGTGCTGAAGGACTTAGGTTGGATATCCGGATTTGACGAGTCCCCATGTTCTTTTGGTATGTTAAGGGTTGTATCTGTTAGTCCTGTGGTTATGGTTGGGTGTTCACTTTTGTTTATCAGTTTTGAATTAAAAAATTTTAATTGGAATGACTCAACTCCATGCAATATGTTTTCGCTCCTAACATAGACCCTTCAAACACATGTTTATCAGGACATGATGATCTACAACATGTTTCTGGGAGTTCTTCACAACCTATGGCTTTTCAAGAAGATATTGATCAGGTTTTTTATTTTATTAATTTTTTTTCTTCTGATGCTAGATGGCTATGGAGTAAGCCACACCTCAGGCTGCCATTTCTTATAACTGTATGATAGTTCAGAAACGTGATTCCTGTCAAAGTTTGTATATTAGGCACGACATTTTTCAGGATGTATGCAATACATGATTCCTAACTGAACTGATTCTGAAAAGTGAAGCCTGCGGTAAAATTACTTTGGCATGAAAATTGAGGCATAGTGCTAGGAGTAACGCCTGGTAAAACCTTGAAACGTGACTGATGAATTCCAGTTTTATGATTTGGATGTCAAAGTGAGCTGATGAAGATGTCCAGGTAGGACTGGTGAAAATTGGTTAAAAGAGTACAGATTGAAACGGAAGTTACAAGGGAAAAGTTCACTATACTTCAGTATTTCAACAAATGTATAACTTCATAAGAACAAATTTGTTCACATTTGTAGTCTAATGGCGGTACCATTATTTTAATTTTCTCATTGAATAAAAGTGTGCTGTTCAAAGCATGAAATTTGGTATTTATTCTAAAATTTAATACCATGACACGATCAGGTATTTGGTTATCCTGACAAAGAAAATAGAACGGATCAGACGAGAAACATTGTGAAACAGAGGAGAAAAACTAAAGCTAATTCTGAAAACGAAAATATTGCACAAGCAACGGACAAAAAGAAGATGGCGAAAGAGGAAAGGATACGCCAAAGAGAAGAAAAGAATAAAAAAGAGAAAGTAAGTTGTTCTTTATGATCTGTTCCTAATTATTTTTAACAGAAACAAGATGACTGATATATGTGAAAAACAGGAAGAGAAGCTGCAAAGAACATATCTGAAAGCTGAAGCAGCAAAAATAAAAAAACTTGAGAAAGAAAAGCAAAGGTGGGAAAAAGGAAAGTTTGCTTTAAAATCCATTGTGGCTGAGATTGATACGAAAGTATTGGAATTGGGGTCAGTTGGAGGTGTGGTCTTAATATTATTCCCCTTCTGTGTATGTATCTTGCATTAGTTCATATATTGTAGCCGAGAAGTTATTTGAATTTTTATGGTAGGAAGTCTGCTTACAAAGATTTCTGAAAGAGGGCTAACATACCGCATAACATCAAATCCAATTGAAAGATCAATTATCTGGACCATGACTGTTCCAGAACATATTTTACAGGTAATAAGTTTTTGGAATTGAAGAATAAATCATGATGTTGAAGGTTTATTGTGGGTGTGAATTGTGTGTGACTGGAGACTAGTTAGTAAAGGATCATGATAGGTGCATCTTCTTGGGTTGTATGCATAGCCAAATTAAACTAAATTTTTAAGGATTTCATGAACGTTGGCATCACTTGACTTACTTTACATCTTTGATGCATGCCTGGTGTAACCACTAACATATGCTAACCTCAATAACTGATTGCAGACTTCTCCTGAAGGAACAGAGGTTAAATACATATTACTGGTGTATGAAGCTGAAGAGTTTTGTAACCTTGTCATCAATGAATCTGTTTTGGACCATGTTTTAAGTGTTCGAAGTCGTTATCCAACTTATACAGTGTGTTATCTAACAAATAGGTTGATGGCTTATATTGATAAAAGGTGAGAAATTGATGAAGATCAATGTATCCTTGTGATGAAAAAAATAACCTTGCCATTTGACTGTATGAAATTGCAATAATTATGTATTGTGTGTGAAGTTTTTCTTGCTAGAGTATCAGTTTTTCCTTTTTAATTTTTGCTTTTGGCTTTTTCAAATTTACGGCTGGTGGTGAACCTGGAAACTACATTCTCTATTTTCCTTTCTACTATAAAAAAGCAGTTATTTGTTCGGTTTGTGCATACTCATCGTTGAATTGTTTACAATTTTAGGGAACAAGAAGTGTACAAGAACCCAACAAATCATAATGGCTGGAGACGCCCACCTGTTGAGGAGGTTGAACCAATAACACAAAATTCTTAGGATCGAGACACGTTAATGCTTTCCGGCGGTTCATACATGTCTTGCAGAATAGCAGTTCTTGGTTTTTTTAGTATCTTAACTTCTCTTTTTAACCAGGTGCTGGCAAAGTTGACCACTAATTTTATTAAAGTACATTCCAGGCTGTGCATAGATGAGGCTGAACTTGCTGAACATATTGTTGGTTTAACATGCAACTTGTCATCCTGCCAATTTAGGTATTTCACATGGCATCACTCAGTTTTTTATCTATTTATTCTTCTTTCTACAGCTAGCTTAAGAAACCAAAATTAATCAAGACACGAGAGCTTCCCAATTTAGTACTATCGGATGCATATATGTTCATAAAAACAGGAGATAGAACCCCAATGCGCTGCTCAAACTTGACCCTCTCTCGCACTGCATTCACTTCCAACCCCCTAACCATCGAAGTAGATGGACCTTCTGTCTATCTACATTTTTAATGTTAATTGGTCGATATTCTAATTCTACCTTTTGCTCTAAAAATGCAGAAAGAAGTTAACCAGACTGGATGTAAATGCTAATGAATCTCTTACCATTAAGGACTGCGTTGACAGGGATTTAATCAGAAAAAGCTCATGGTGAGTTGTTTGATGTCAACAGACAACATACAAAAGTAATGCAGAATGTTTAGGCAGCTCATATTCTTATCATCTCCTGTGGCCTTTACAACAGTGGTTCTAATTGATAATTTCATTTGATGCACTTTCTTGTTTCCGGGGTCAAATGGTTAGGATGATGGGTTCTAAACCAAGGATGCAATGCAATATTTGTAGATACTAGGAAAAAGATGTTGAACAACTGCATAAATGAAAATGATTTGTCTGATTTTATAACTTTATCATTTATCTAAGAGCATTTTATTTTGTACCTGACATTTAGGTTAAAAGCATTGGTGGCTATCCCGAAGGTACAGCCGCGATTTGCTATTGCTATATGGAAGAAGTACCCTACCATGAAACTTCTTTTGAGTGTTTACATGGACCCAAATATACCAGTAAGTATAAGATGCTGCAACCTGTCATGAAATATAAAAAGAACGTGTGTTGATTGAACTTGACATGGTCACTCTCCTCTTATTTACGTAACAGATTTGAACTGTTTCAGGAAAGTTAAATTTCAACTGGATGGGTTTTCTTTGTGCAATGCAGATAAAAAAAATGTCTGTCTAGTTAATGAGTGATATGTTTCCGTAAGTAGCAGAATGCATAATTCGCAGAGGCATACTTACATCCAGCAGCAAGCACATTGCTCATTGCTGTATTGAAGGCGGAATTCAAATTGTTTCTGCATATTCTATTTACTTTCGTTTTTCCCTACGTTTTCTTGGCTGCTAAGTATTGCAATGTCAGGTTTGCGAAAAGGAATTTCTGCTCAAGGACTTGATAACGGAGGGTTTACTCGGCGATGACAGAAGATTGGGTGAGGTTTGTTCCAGAAGAGTGTACAGAATACTTATGGCACAAAGTGGATCCATTAAAACTGATGATGCTGAGGACGGTGCTGATTTGTTCAGGCGTCAATTGACTTGAAAAAACTTCTCTCCGGATTTGTCTAGTACTTTTTGATCCTCCGGAGTCCGCCATGCCCATGATAATCCGGCCGCCATGATTTATTTTTGGTAAATGTTATATTTGGGGCCTTAAATAGTAGTTCTTCTTTATAGTATAAAAAGTAAAAAGATTCTTGGCTGTATAAAAAAAATGGTTAATTTCATATTTCCCACCTAAAGTTTTACAGTACTTTCACTTTGGTCAACTTTTTGAGTGTCAAAAAGGGGGAAAGACTTGTATTGCATGGGTCACTGCCATGGTCGCATTCTATGCTAATAATATAAGAACATGTTATTGTTAACCCGTTAGTACAAGTGTCTAATCCACGGTAGTATCGTAAAAGTTCACAAAACTCTCAGAACTCAAAAGGACATGTTCTGCCTTCAACATACCGTTATTTGATTCGTTTTTATAACGTAATCAAGAAACAGCTAATAATTTCCTTTGATCGGAAGATTTGACAATTATACTTCAGAAAAAACACAAAAGATACACAAATTCGTACTATGGTTCGGTTTTGGTTTATTTTTCTCCTAAAACTTTTTCGGTTCGGTATTCGAGTTGGGGTTTTCGGTTCGATTACCGAACCAAAACCAGTCCTACGTATGGTACCGTAAACACATCAATTGATTAATAAAGAAACTGGATATAAATCGAACAAACCAATAACAAAAATTTGTCGTTGAACACACGAATCAAATCAACCTAAAATTAGGTGGCAGTTGAAGAGAGAATAAAACTCAGTTTGAGGTTAGAACCCCCTGAAACCGTATATCTTCTTCTATACACCACCTGCCTTCTCGCGCCTTAGCCAAAATACAACAGCTCAAGCATGCCCAAAATTTTGTTACAGTACAAACTAATGCAAGAACCGAATGTTATCATGCAAATTCACGATAAAATATTGTTACGGTACAAACAATTGTAAGCTTGTAGTGCTTATGAACTGTATATCAAGAACCAGTTACTATAGCTAGACATCAATCTAATCCAAGGAAAGCTTAACATAGCTAAATTCAAAACAGTTCTCATACACAAACAAGAATAGTTAATGCCATCCTCCGAATCAACCACTAGAGATCCACAACATTCGCAAGTAAACGTGGAAGGCACAAAAATCTAGCGCACACTGGGACTGGGGGAAGTCAAGGATCGAGACAATGTCCTAGAAAGCCGCTCTGGCAATATTCACTCAAAATATAATTACTTTCATAGGAGAAAAGACTAGAAGAAGAATGGAAAACACCCGTATGAAATTAAACCAAACCCAGCAGGAGACTGGGACTTCGAGTAAAGGAACATACCTGTGAAGTTGCTCTCACCAACAGGCGCATGTAACAGGAAAATAACGCCAGCAGTTTCCCTTTGACACAAAAGTAACCCATCCCTGTAAGCAAACAGGAAGTGTTGAATGCCACTAATACTTGAGTTTTGAGAAGTCACTAGACAATGAGATGCCATTAGAAAACCGAAAAACATGATATCGTGGTCTGCATTAGAAACACTTTACTAAAATAAGTAAAAATCATATTCTAGGAAAATTACTATTGCTCTCTGTACTCAGAAAAGAAATAATGTTTTGTCAGTTCACAAAGGTGCAACGTCTCTATAAAGAAGTTTCGGCAAATAGCCACTAGCAGGACCGGAATTAGCAAAATTATGTCAAATCAGTCCTATGCACTACAAAACTGAAATGTCAAAGCACAGAAAGAAGATAAAATCTGAAAACAATTCCGCCCAGCATCAACCTTTAGATGTGAATCATGAGATAAGTTCAAGTGGGACAACTCAAGGATTCGTCATGAGACTCTATCCTGCACCATATTAGCAGAATATTTTCACTTCAAAATTGGTAAAAACCCATGGATCTGCAAGTGTTTCTCAAGATTACAGAATTGAAATCAATTCACTTCACATGTGTTAGCAATCCTTTTCGTATAATCGGCTTCCTTCTATTCTAATCCTCAAAAACATCATAACCTGAACTTATATCCCCATTTACAACGGAATCAGTATCTTTTATTAACTCCGTTAAGCCATCCAACAAAAGGTAAATTTCATCTCTCAGCCGATTTGTTGTGTCCCCCACCAAAAAGGGTGAAAATCCATCGCCCACATCAACCCAAGCACAGCCAGGATCCTTCTTCACACCCAAGTCCCTCATGAAAGCCCTCACTCTCGCTAGGTTGTTCCAACAACCAGCAGCAGCATACATGTTAGCAATTAACACATAGTAACCAGAATTTTCTGGTCTCATTTCTAACAACTTCCCAGCTGCCCATTCCCCTATCTCCATATTTCCATGGATACGACATGCTCCAATAAGTGTAGCCCACATAGCAGAAGTTGGCTTGTAAGGCATCCTTGTGATAATCTCCTTTGCTTTGTTTAGTAGACCGGCCCTCCCAAAGAGATCAACCATGCAGGCATAGTGCTCTGAATTGGGAGTTATACTGTATACACTCAGCATCTTTTCAAATAGCAATTGGCCTTGGATTACTAGACCAGAATGGCTACAAGCTGATAAAATTGAAACCATAGTTACATGATCTGGTTTTATGTGTAACAAGTTCATCTCTTCGAATAACTTCAGTGCAGCTTTTCCTTCACCCTGGACTCCATATCCTGCAATCATGGAAGTATAAGTTACTTCATCCCTCTTCAACATTGAATCAAATACTCTTTTCGCCTGTAAAACCTTGCCTGATCTGGCATACATGTCCACAAGGGAATTCCACAGCAATAAACAATCATCAAACACTAAACGTTTTGTAATGTAGCAGTGGAACTCCTTCCCATGTTGAAGATTTGCTACCCGAGCACAGAGGGGAAGGATGCTGGCAATAGTAACATAGTTAGGTTCAATTCCTGAACACAACATCTCCCTAAATAAGAATGAAGCTTCCTCAGCTCGATCCATGTGGGAATAACCAGAAAGCATGGAGTTCCAAGTAATTATACTCCTATCTTCTATCAATTCAAACAAAGTATAGGCTTTCCTAAGGTCTTTGCACCTAGAATACAATGTAATCAATACATTATTAACATTATCATACCCATCACAACCACTACGAATCGCAAAACCATGAATTTCCTTCCCTAATTTAATGTCTCCAATGTGGGAACAAGCACTCAAACCAATTGTCAATGCTACCGAGTCCAATAAAATACCACAACTTATCATTTGAGAAAGCAACTCAAGAGCGCCCCTGAAATTACCCGTCCTCAAGCACCCTCCAGCAATGGTATTCCACAGTAAGATATTAACTCCAATACCCTCCATCTGCATGTTTCCAAACAGCTCGAATGCATCTGTCCACATGCCCTTGGAGGCATAACCAGAGATCATTGCATTCCAAGAAATTGCATCCCTTGTGGGCATTTTGTCGAATAAGTGGCGAGCAACGTCGAGAAGCCCAAATTTCCCATACATGGCGACCAATGAATTATGCACAAATAAATTCCACTCCTGACAACAAGCATCAATGGACTTATGCACATCCCTACCAAAACTTATATCCAATTTTTCACCACAAGCCTTGAGAACAGATGGGTAAGTGAAACAATCTGGCCTAATCCCCTTGTTGACCATTTGTTTATACGTAGAGAGAGCCTCATCCAAAAGTTCATTTTTAACATATGAAGAGATGAGCACATTCCAAGGTAGAGGATGCAATATATTTGAATTCTCAATAATGATACGAGCATCAGCATGGAGATTAAAGCTCGAGTAAAATGTAACCAGCTTGGGAACCAAAATGGGGTGTCGTTCAAATCCCAATGTGACAATATGTGCATGAAGCTGTTCACCATGTAGTAATGCTTTATGGTTGGCACAAGATAAGATAACAGAGGAGATGGAATGTAAGATAAGGTCACAAGTAGGAGAAGAGGCATAGAGCTGGACAAGAGAGATAGTTTTGAATGCTTTTGATAAATTTCCTTGGCTTGCATAATTCTTGATGGATGTAAGAAGAGAATCTACCATAGAACCATCAACAGCTGAACCTGTTTCCGAAATACATAAAGCAGATAATTTCCCAAATAGTTTCGTTCCTTCCTTCCAGCTTTTAGGTATGAATCTTTGGATTTGAGATATAGAAAGGCCTCTTGGGAAGAAACGAGAATAAGATGGTGGCATACACTATAAAGTATCTTCTGCACATAATAACATGGTAAGCAAGAACTGATCGCATGACGTTGCCCGAATTTGCAGCAGGTGTCTCGAGAAAACTGGCTAATAGGAGATCTACTTTTGATTATTAAGATCAGGGACAACTGATCAGATTAAAAAGAAAACCACCTCTCTCCTGAAAAATAATTAGAGAAAGTTTTAGAAAGGGCATATTTTATTTATACAAGGATTTTTAGCCAAAATGGTCCCTGAGATTGTCATAACTACTCATTTTAGTCCCTAAGATTTAAATCGATAGAAGTGCTCCATGAGATTGTCTACCATCAATCATTTTGGTCATTCTGTGAAAAATCTTCGTTAAATTTAAGAAACCACCAGTTCAAGTGGAGGGGTTGATATGACAAAAATACCCTCAATTTAACGGAGATTTTCACAAAAGGACCAAAATGATTGACAATGGACAATCTCAGGGACCACTTCTGTCAATTTTAAATCTTAGGGACCAAAGTGAGGAGTTGTGTCAATCTTAGGAACCATTTTGGCTAAAAGGCCTTTATACAATCATGAAATGTGAGACCGGTCACCATATGCATACATCTTAAATGGTTCATATACAATAACTTGAAAGTAGGGTGTGCTTAAATTTATGCGTGTGCTTGTGTGTGTGCATGAGGGAGTGCCTCAAACTACGACCAAATTGATCAGTAAAAGTAAATGACAAGACAACACAAAACAGGTTTTTGTTAAGTACTTTGCAAAACAAAAAGTACCATGGCAAGTTACACAGTTTCTGATGTGGCCACTGGCACAGTAACATATTCTGAATTTTTGGGAACGCACATGTAAAGTCCTATTCCTTCGCTCAGCTGCTTTTCTACTTCTCCACACCCATTGGCACAACAACCATTTTCTTTAATATTTTATAGGCTTAGGGAGTAGAATTTATGGTTGATTACTTTAGGATGTAATCACCGTTTAAAAGCTTAGGGTATAGGGCTTAGCTCTTAACTAGGAATCTAGAATCTGTACTAATCTCTTGTAACAAAAAAAGTTCTCTGAAAGAGAAAGTAATTCATTGAATTGAACCAATAAAATTGGCAATTGTGGTCCTATTTAAGTTTTCCTTCTTTTCAAGAAGGAAATTTTGCATTGTTTCCCTTCAATCTGTATTTAAAATCAGTTGTGATGCCGAAGGTCGGTGTGATGCTGGAATTTATCTAAATACTCTATTGCAGTGATTCCAATACCGTTTTGGTGTGATACCAAGGGCCGGGGTGAGTCCGGATATCTACCCCGTTCGTATTTATTCCTATTGTCCTGCATCACATATTCCAGTAAGGAACCAGAAACTAAGACTACCCATTAAATCCTATAAAAGTTTCAGCCTTTCTAAAAGAGAATCTACTATGAGTACATTTATTATCAAACATTATAACTTAATTACTTCAAGCATTCTTTCTTTTTGTAATTTTACTAGCAAAGTGTACCCGCGCGTTGCTGCGTGGTTTGAAACACTGTTGAAGATGTAAAAGGTCTCGAAAAATATATATGCTAAAGAGTGGTTTTTTTTTTTTTTTTTTTTTTTTTGAACAAATGCTATTATCTACACTAAGTGGCAAGAGAGATGTTGGTATGCATATTATATTACAAAAATTGGGGATGTTGGTATGCCAGCCTAAAGGATTGTTTTTCAAAAGCTATGGCTCTATCTCATGGAGTGTTTTATGTTTACAACTATACAAAGTAGAAAAAATTTTTGATCACTCATGAATTGAATCACCCTAAATTGCATTATGAATTGAATTGAATGAAAGTAAAAAAATGAAGGGAAAGGTTTCATAAATTCACTATGCAAGATTTCACTATGCCAGATTTCATTTGCAGACACCAAAACATGCGCAATATTAAAGTTGGGGTTTTCATACTCTATTGGGTATCAAAAGTCATGTGAAAGCTCGGAAATAACCAAACCAACATCCAATTTAGTACACACCTGAATAAAACTTAAGCAAGAAAATATATCCAACTCCTCAATCATTAATCAAACACAGTTATACAATGACTGAAAAACTCTCAATCATTTATCAAAATTGAATTAATAAAATTGGATGTTGGGGTCAAACTTTTGTTTCCGCCTAAGGATATTTGAGGCTAAAAATTTAATTTTACTCAATTTAGCTTTTATGTTATTTTATTTTCAGTCTTCAAATTTAGAGTAAATATTAACATTCTACAGTGTGGTTTCAATTTCAATTTTCATGCAATTTGTTATCTTCAAAACTTCAAACCAATAGAAACTCTACATGCATGTATTCCTCGTATCATGAACATCAGTCTATATCAATATATAATTTTAGCATATACTTAGTGGGAACCAATTATTCTTGATGCTCCTGACAATGACAAATATATATATATACATATATATATCGATGTCGTTTATGTACTTACATCTTCACTGTGCATGCCAACTTTTAGGGTTTCATTTTGGGATTGTGACGTTTCAAATGAAAATTTTGGTACCCTTTAGTGATAGTTTGTATACTGGATTTATCTTCTTTAGCCCTTTGTTTGCAATTTGAATTACATGACTCAAAGTCTGTTGTATTTCTTCAATTTTCAGCTTCCGGTTTAGAGAAAAATTGGGGATGTGATTAATAATCTATTGTGTCCATTTATGTAATTTAATTATTTAATAATGTTCTAGTAAAATACAACCCCAATAGAACGAAATGGACCATAGAAAAAAAATGCGAAATATTTACCAATCACTATTCACAGTTTTGGTCAAAGAACTCAAATTTCAGAGATAAAAAACAGAGAAGCATGTATACATCATTTATAAAGGTTACCTCCTTTTGGTTGAAAAACTGAAGCGTGACGCTAATTCTTCTTCTGCTTCCACCTCCTTATAGAACTTGACCCACCAGTAACATTTGTACTTCAACCTACAATCAGTAACCAGTCAATACCTTTGGCAAGCTCATTGGGTATGGCAACAATATGTATGGGAAGATTATTGCAAACCTAACAAACGAAGAAAAAGAAGGAGGCATTCAGTTGAGGATGTCGATGAGGGAAAGAATAAGAAGAAGAAAAGAAGAGCTAGTTGAGGAACAGAAGAATTTTGGTGCTGTGTTCAGTTTGGAGGTATGGTCTTAAGAGTTTAGAAACTGCCTAATGATTCTCTCACTCCAGTGTTTACAAACTGCTCTGGTTTAATCTAATTTGGTAGTAAATTAATGATTTTACTCGAGGTAAATAAGCACGTTGCAGACCCTACTGAATTCTGTAAATCTCTATAACCCTTAACTGTCATGGTGAAGCAACTGTTACTTCAACTATTAACCGTTCTATGAGAGTGTATGCTACTGCCATAATTGCAGCAGTTTATAATCTAATCAAATTAGTAAGAAAAACATATGTTCTCATGCATGTAGAAACTCAGTGGAGAGAATACTACATTTGCAACACAATGAAAAGAGGCAAACACATGACAAATATACCCAAAATATAGAAGCATCCAGGAAATAAAATGACATCAAAAAAGAGCCCACCAATTTAATGAAGAATTCTCCAAAACTCAGAACTTTAAACGTAATTTTACAAAATCATGAAAAATTTACTAAAATCCAAATATACGTAACAAAATTGAAGCATATCTTGACATGCAAAAGGTCAAAAGGTACCTGAAGTGATGAGCAATGGTTTGACATACTTTTTTTTCTTCACCTCTTTGTAAGTTGCTCTTTGCATAAGCTACAGCAATTAAAAATAAAAAATAAAAAACCCATTACATTAAATTTATCTGAATATTTAATCACAGGTGCACCAGAAAATTATAAAACTCAAAATTAAAAAATCCCAAGATGAATTTGAGCAAAACCCATATCAGATTCTAAGTGGGTTTATGAAAAATAGTATTAATCAGATATCAACACAGTAAATAAAAAAATTGAAATTCTCCTACCTTTAAGTTTCAAGGTTTTTACTTTAGAATCCAAGGAAACCCCAGATCAGATTCTAAGTGGGTTTATCAAAAATAATAATCTAATAAGAAATTAACACTGAAAGTAAATAAGAAACCGAAAAAAAAAATTGAATTTTCTTACCTTTAGTTTCTGGGTTGATGCTAGACAGCTATCAACCCAAAAACAAGCAGCATCCTACAATAATCATCAGCCCATAACACCTTAAAAACAAATCCGTAAATTCGAAGTAAGAAACCAAACAAACAATTAAACAAATAAACCAAGAAGCAAAAGAAAATAAACCACATACAAAAGCATATTGATTTCAATTAATACTAGTAATCACAACAAAATCAAAAATTTATTTGCAAGTTTCCAAAATTAACAATCCAAGTCTTTTCAATTATTCTTTTTCTCTTTCCAGGAAACAAAAATGTTAAATATTAACGAAAACCATAAATACAATACAATAGGAACGAACAATACCTAAAGCGGAGAAGATGAAACCGTGGCGGCGGTGGCGGTGGAGATTAATATACGGGAGGAAGCACAGTCTGAAAATGCAACATGAAGATGGAGGGGCGGAGAGCTGAGAAAAGAGAGGCTGAGGCCGACTGAAGATGGCAACCCAGCAGACCCAACAACTCGCAGAATTCAGCTATCGCGCGGTGGGGATTCGCTGGACAATTGGGGCTTTATACGTTGGAGGACGGCGGGGACTGTGAAATGGGAAAAGAGTTTGGGTTTTACTGAGGTTTAAAGCCGGTCGTTGCCTTACTCATCCAACAGTAAAAAGGGATGACAAAAAGGTAACCAATTCTAAAATATAGAAAATAAAAAGGATTGTCTGCCTCCCATCCCATATTTTTTCTATCCTCTTTTATATTATGTGATCACGATTAAGTCACGTCAACATTTTATACTAATTTTTAAGGTGTGTGGCTTCTCACACACCTTTTTAATTTTCGACCGTTGGATCAGATGAATTGAAGAAGATCAACGAACAGAAATTATCAAGATGTGTGAGAAGTAGAATGAGATGTGTGGATAACACATCCCTTGATTTTTTTTTTTTATAGAAATAATAAAACAAAAAGTAATGAGAATATAAAATGTTGATGTGACTTAACCGTAACCACATAAAAGGGATGGGAAGGGTATGGGATAGGGAGGGCAGACAATCAGGTCCAATAAAAAAATAGACGGGTTCTGTATTTAATATGTAATGCTCGTGTTTATCATACTCACTGTACTGTGATAATAGTTTAGTACAAATCAAACTCACTAATTCTTATATATAGACATTATACTTACTTAAGTTATCGTTAAATACTTAACAATAATATTATATAAATTAGACATCAATCAAATTCAAGTTGTTTGATTCCGAAAGCCTAATGGTTTATTTCAAAGTTCATTTTGTTTCAACAATAAAAAATGCAAGTGAACATGAAAGCTTGAAGATAATTATGGGTAGGGTAATAAATTTACAAAAAAAAAAAAGTTTAATTTTTATGTCAAACAATATAAAACTATTACTAAAGGACTATAAATACACATACATCTCTTTACCTTTCAAACACTTCTCTTAACTTTCAGCCGCTAAATTAAATGAATAGAAGAAAATCAACTGATAAAAATTAACATGGTATGCATGTGAGGTAAAAAGAGGTGTGTGTTAACACCATCATAAATACATTATAAACACGTAATCAATGAAAAAAAAAATGCTACAAAGACACTACATAAAAAAATGGATTAAACTACAATCATTATCTGACAGTCAAGTATAATTATTATCTGATTGATGAGATGATTATTTTATTAAAGGGAACTTTAACGAAAAACTCATGTTACTGTTCACTTTAACGAAAAACCATATTTTTACACTAAAAAGTCAATTCTGGTACTATTCACTTTACCTTTTATTTTATTCTTATCTTTAAAACTCAGAGTTTTCAAATCATTTTCATTAATTTTTCTTTTATTAAATATACGTTAGTATTAAAAATCTCATTTGAAAGTCTTTTTAAATAGATTCATACGTATGGGCTTGTGCAATGTTCTCATTTTATTTAGTTAAGTCCAGTAGCAACGACAACGAAAGCCCACATATAGAAGCGTGGTGGGCAAAGCGAATTCTTCAAGTTTTGCCGCCAAAACGCTCTCTCTCTCTCTCTCTCTCCAAGAGTTTATCGATTCACATTTCTCTCTCCTCGCCCAGTTCACCAATGACTTCCGCCAATCCTCACCATGTCATCGACGACGACGACGACGACGACGACAATTTTGATTGGGAAGCGGCGGCGAGAGAAATCGACGTGGTTTACCAGACCAAGGCTTCAAAGCCCTCCTCTACTTCAGACCAATCTTCCCATTTTGCCCCTCCTCCCAGTAACATTAACACCCCAGTGCAAAATCCGATTGCCCCAATCCCTGGCAACAAGAAGAAGGCCGGCACTTCCCGGCAGAGCACCCTTGACAAGTTTATCGGCAGGCCTCCACCAGAGATTCGAGATGTCGAAGAACGAAACCTGGATTGTAGTGAGGGTGATGGGAGGGTGTCCTGTGTTCCAATTGATGCTGAGGCAGCTAAAACTTGGATGTACCCAGGTTGGATTCATCTTTTCTCTGCAATTATTTTCTCTACTGCGTGGAAGTTTGGATTTTGGGTATTCAGGAAGAGGGGTATACTGTTCTTATTTTTTACTTTCTGATATGGGATTTGGAGACTGAAGTTGGAATTTGATTATTTGAATGAACTAGATGGCATATTGCCCCGGATGCTAGCTTTTCAATCACATTTTTATCAGAGTATAAATTTTGCTAATGAGTTGTGCTATTGAGCTAATGTGGGTTCAAATGCATCGGACTTTTTAGGGAAAATGTGAGTACTTGTGCAGAGATTGAGATTGTGAACTAATGATCTCACTTTTTTCGATATTAATGCTTGGAAAGGGTTCTTCTTGTCTCATTTTTTCTGTTTATTGTTAAGTGTAGAAAACATTAAACTTATCTTCGGACTCTTATTCCTTTTTGCAGTTAATTTTCCTCGGCGTGACTATCAATTTTCTATTACCCAGACTGGCATTATTTTCAAATACATTGGTGGTACTGCCAACTGGACTTGGGAAAACGCTAATTGCTGCAGTTGTTATGTATAACTATTTCAGATGGTTCCCTAATGGTAAAGTAACTTGTACCATGCTTCTTCACCAATTGTTTATTATACGTGTTCTGATTCTGGATTCTTAATTTTTGTTTGTTTGATTGCTCTGAATTCTTTTTATTTTAGTACGAACCAACTTCATCCTATTGCAGACAATTAGACAGCTATGCCCTATTCGAATTTGTTCCTATTATGATTTATTCACATTCTCATGTCAATTCATCCTCATTTCTGTTCAGTTTCTTTTGCTGTTGGCTTTTCAAGTTTGTTTTCATTAGTTATGATATGTGGACATTGTTCTTCCCACAACAGGAAAAATAGTCTTTGCTGCTCCTTCTCGACCACTTGTTGTGCAACAAATACAAGCGTGTCATAATATTGTAGGAATACCACAGGTAAGAACCCCATTTACTTGTAAGCAGTGGGCATTGTTCAAAATTTGGTGGTTTCTTAACAATTTTATTCACTTAGGAATTATAAGAAGATTCTGATCAAACTGATTGCAGGAATGGACAATTGATATGACAGGTCAGACAAGTCCTACGAAAAGAGCTTGCTTGTGGAAAACTAAACGAGTTTTTTTTGTTACTCCACAAGTGCTGGAGAAGGACATTCAGTCTGGTGATTAATTCTTGAACTAATACACTAGGATTATCTAATGAAAAGCTGTAGAAATTTGATATTTTCATTTGTTCTATTCTAAAATGTGAAACTGTCCCCACTAGAAAATAAGTATATTCCAACACCATTTTTATGCATATAAATATATAGATTTTTTTTCCTGTTGAGAAAGATCTTTTGTCGCTGGATTTTGATCAGGGGTAATTTGTTGCAGGCACGTGTGCAGTAGAATTCTTGGTATGTTTGGTGATTGATGAAGCTCACCGAGCATTAGGAAACTATTCTTACAGTGTTGCAGTTCGTGAGGTATGTTCTGTTGATTTCTGATCTGTAAACTATGTCTGATCATCCTTTGCACGTGTACTGGTACATAGTGTGGTGTCACTATCGCCACTAATGTTCTTCTATTGCTACCCTTATAAGTGTTGGCTCGGTGTGTTATTATTGGACAAAGTTAATGGTTTTAGATACTAATGATAATTTAATTTTTATAGTTAATGGCTGAACAAGTGCAACTGCGAATTTTAGCTTTGAGTGCAACACCGGGATGTAAGTTGCTAACATACTGGGTTGCTACTAAATTTCATTTAGAGTATCCTAAACTACATGCACTTGTACAGCAAAGCAGCAGACTGTCCAGCAAGTTATTGATAACTTATATATATCAACACTTCAATATCGCAATGAAGACGACCCTGATGTCAAACCATATGTCCACAACAGGGAGGTAGAGTTGATTCAGGTATGCATTGTAATCTTTTGTTTGCTGAATTTTTTTGTACAGAGGAAAACACTTTTGTGGCAATATGTCTAGGTTGCAATGGGTCAAGCTGCTGTTGAGATAGACAATAAGCTCTTGGAAGCAATGCATCCATTTGCATCCAGGCTTTGTGCCATTGGAGTTCTCCCAACTCGAGACATTCAGAATGTATGGTTCGGTATAATTTGAATTCTTCTAGTTTGCTCTAGGAAAACTGTGCTGGATGGGATTGTTTTTTTGCATTTTTATTCTGTTCTGGCGATGCCATCAGACATGGTAAAAATGGGGTGGTTTTGAGTTTTTCTAGTAACTTCTCCTTTTGTTTTTCCTCTATATTTAAGGAATAGAAAAGCCACCATATAGATAACCAATTTCTTTTACTAATGAAAATTTATTACCTTATCTTTCTATCTGTTATTTCTTTTTCTGCTTTAATTCTTACTGAAACAATTACATACTTTCTGGGTCCACAATCACATAATCTCACTCCTTTTTCTTTGGGTTGGGGGGGGGTGTTGTTACAGTTAAGCCCTTGTCTATTACTTAATTCAAGAGAGAAATTTCGTCAAGCACCTCCAGACCTCCCCCAAATTAAGCCTGGAGACATTGAAGGTTTCTTTGGAGCACTGCTTACACTTTACCACATTCGTAAACTAATATCAAGCCATGGAATAAGGCCAGCATATGAAATGCTTGAAGAAAAATTAAAACAAGGGTATGGCTTTTCTATACTCTCAGTTTCCTCACTGTCTTTATTAGCTCATACTCAGATTCTAATAACTATTTCCTATTATATGTGGAACCATCATGCATTTTATTGTTTACTTTTCTCGAGTTAAATATTCTTTAATCTATGTAGGAACCTTCCCAATTCCCATTGATGTGTTAGTAATGCACCTTGAAAATGAAGTGCCAGAAGCTGTTGCTTTTGATGAGAATCACCTAATAACAAAATTTGGTATCAAGCAATTCCAAACAGATCTGCCTTGCAGAAATTTTGAGGCGGATAATTTTCTATTTTTAAGATATTTTTGTTACGTGAAAGGCACACACTCTGTTGTCTCATTATGATAATTGGTGTTTGACTTTTCTGTATTTGGACTCTGAGTTGAAGGACAGAAACTTCTTGTATAGACTTTACTAATATCTAATATATTATATATTAATGTTGATGGCATGGAGTTTAAGCTGTTAAATTTTTTAGCAAGCAATTCAAGACTGTTAAGCTGTTCAAGATCATTTTTTCAGGTCTTTTGCAAGGTATATGAGCAGGAATGAAGATATTTGTAAAGCAAAGCTCATAATGCAGCAAAGTTTGTCACATGGTGCTCCGAGTCCCAAATTGTCCAAAATGTTAGAAGTACTGCATGATCATTTCAGTATGTGGTCTCTGTTCTTAATTTTATTGTATGCTATCATTTGCTGGTTTTGATATTTTATAACTCCTGCTTATGAAATGTATAAGTGTATCAAATGTTAGAAGTACTGCTGCTTTCATGGTTTCAATATTGTGTTCGTCAAGAAATGCCTATTCGCAGATAAATAATTTTTGTTTTCAATGAAGGGCCTGGAACATCTCCCCAGCATTTTTCACTTGTTCTGAATTCGGGAGTAAGGGATTAAATGCTTATTCTGATGTATAAACAATTTTAGTTAGCAATACTAGCAATGTCAAAACTTTAATGTTTCTGTGAGCCAATATACCAATTTGTCCAGAAACTATTATTTGTAAATAAATAATTTTTGTTTTCAAACAAAGGCCTGAAACATCTACCCGGCTTTACGTTCACTTATGGCTGAAGTAGGGATTAAGGGATTAAATTCTTATTCTAATGTATAAATAATTTTATTTAGCAATACTAGCAATGCCAAAAGTTTTGCATTTTTGTGAGTCAATGGACCAATTTTGTCATGTATAACCAACTGCAAAAGATGAGATTGCTAGGACTTGAGAGAAGAAGATAGTTACCGTATCACATCTCAATAAAGATTTTCAGAGCAATGATAAAGCAAAAAGACTTAGCATGGCATAGTAAAGGAGGTCGTGGGTTTAATTCTACTTCTGCAATTTGAGCTTCACAAGTTGAACCCTATAGCACTGGAAAGAGGCCCATATATGAAGGGGAGTGTTAGAAAATAAATTAATTGTTGATCCCCATCATAATAGCTTAAAACTTTTTGGACCATATGAAACAGAAATTTCTGTCAGACCTGTTCAATTTTTTTATTTGATTTTAGGGAATTTTTATATGAAACATGTTTAATTTTAATTAGGATTACTGCTGCTTTATGGCTTTATATTTCTTTACCATTAGGGTTTCCCTGTTGGCTTTATTTCTTTGTTGGATTTGGACTGTGTATTATTATCTGAACAGAACTTGTTGCGGCTAAACTCTGAAGACTTGAGTTTTAAGTTGACATTTGTACATGGGAAATGGACAAAATGTTTGAGTACTTACTATTTATACCAATGATTGTATGCGATCTGGCTACAATGATTTAGTTTTGAGTTTTTGAGTTATGTTTGTGCTGATGAAACACTGGTTTATATTGATAGCATATATTAATCGTATGACTCAAAGTATTAGCTCTCAGTGGTTGATAATTATATTTCTCATTGTAGAAACAAATGATCCACAGAAATCAAGGGTTATAATTTTCTCAAATTTTCGGGGAAGTGTCAGGTGCAACAATTTATGTGTTTAATTAATAATGATGATTTTATTATTATGTTTTCTCAAGCTAATTATATATAAAATGTGGAAAACCCTTCTGAGTATACAGGGACATAATGGATGCATTAGCAAACCTTGGCAATTTAGTCAAAGCTACCCAGTTTATTGGTCAAAGTTCAGGTTTGAAGCTCCATTCTTCACTTTGTTCCTTTTCCCTATTAAATGTGATGTTTAATGAAAATTAGTTATCTTTTGTTGCCTAAATAAAAATTTATTATAAGATGCAGTTGTTCTTAATTCTTTAACTTCCTCTCTTGTTTTTGTTCGCTTTTCTCATGGATTTTTTATTATTTTATATGTACGCTTGGTTCAAAACTTCAAAACAAAATTGTCATATCCTATGTCTCTATTACATGGTCAACCTTTTCAACCATGTGTCTGGCATGTTGAACAGGAAATGTTAAGAGTGAGTCTGACATGCAGGAAGACAATGGAGTTTTCGTCTGATACTGACTTATCTTCCCCTTTTTATTATATTGCCTCTTATTTGTCCACCTCTCTCCTCTCTCTCTCTCTCTCTCTCTCTCTCTCTCTCTCTCTGTCTCTCTCTGACTTTCTCCCACTCTTCAGGTCCTTGACCTCTTTTGAAATGAATTTGTGTTCAAGGCAAAGAGAAGATAATAATTGTTAAGAGATCTTCTTAGGAGACTGGATTGAAATGGTTTCCTAGTTCTTCAAATGGCATACTACAGCCAAGAATTTATGTATGTCTTGGTTAACGTTTGCATTAGGATTAACTTGTATAGTTGGCCTATTCCCTAATACCTCAAGCATTTGGGTTCTAGTTGTTGCCTAACATGGTATCAGTGCCCTGGTCTGAGGAACTCCCCGGTTCAAAACCTTGATCCTTCTAACTCACTTAATGATTTACGTGGGTATTGTGAATTAGCTGGAGTAGAGCTTTTGGAAACAAGAGTAGGCTTCTTGGTTTGTGCGGTGATAATTGGGATTTAATTTAAATAATCTGGTCTGAATGATAGCTGTTAGGTGGAAAACCAATTATTTTAAAATAGTTCTATAAGCAGAATTTAGAACACTGATTATAAAATAAGTATATAAGCCTATAACAAAATCGGGATGGAAATTACCTGTGAAATTTTAGGGCCTCACAGGTTGCCTCACAATTATATTGGTTTGCGTGTCTATTGTGAAATATATTGACTATTATTTTCTTACAGGGAAAACATTAAAAGGTCAGTCACAAAAAGTTCAACAAGCTGTTTTGGAGGTAATTGTGTTGTACTTATTTCTTTTTGTAGCACCTTGCATTAGCTTATTTTGATCTCCCACAGAAATTTCGTGCTGGTGGATACAATGTCATTGTTGCCACATCTATTGGTGAAGAAGGCCTGGATATTATGGAAGTTGATCTGGTTATATGCTTTGATGCTAACGTATCACCATTGAGAATGATTCAACGCATGGGGAGAACTGGAAGGAAGCATGATGGACGAGTTGATATCCTTTTCTCATATGACTAATGCATTTTATGTGGTTAGTTGTTAGTGAGATCAGTATGAATATTCAAAGAATTTCTTGCTTCCCCCGAGTAAATCCTAAATCCTTGACAAGTCTTACTAGTTCTAGCCTGTGAAGGGTCAGAGTTGAAGGGTTACCATCGTAAGAAAGGAAACAGTAAGAATATGATGAAACACATGCGAAATGGGGGAATAAATAGCTTCAATTTCCATTCTAGTCCAAGGATGGTGGGATTTTCTAACAGATGCTGCATCTTTATAACTTTTAATGCTGCGGTCCATTTTTTAGCTATTGATTGCATCAAATTTTATTGCAGATTCCTCATATTTTCAAACCCTGAAGTCCAGTTTCTTCAGTTTTCAGTTGAACAATTTATTCGTCGTGGAAAGAAAGTTATTGATGATAACATTGTTCAGACACCTGTGATCTCAGAAACGTTAACTGTAGCTGAGACTAACTTAATTGCCAAGTATTTCCACCCTCATGGACTTACATGGAAGCCGTCTCTTATTGCCTTTCCTCACGTTCAAACGTATCCGTCAAGAGTGTATAAAGTAATGCATTCACGTCGGACAACAATGCTGATTGATATGATGCAATGTTTGCAAGGACTAACGTTTTCTAGGGACAGCAATATCTCCCTTGTTGAGGTTTGATTTGATCTATGTGGTTAAGTTGTTTTCCTTCTTGTAATGTATTACATATTCTTGAGTTTTACAACTTTTACTTAATTGCTTTCAGGATGAATTCTATGTAAAGGGAATTGACACTACTGAGCAACATGTCATTGACAGTGCTGAACATCATGAGAACAACAGACAAGGTAACTCAAAGGGAAAATAGCTACAATAAACATATTTTGACGTTTGGTTTGCATAAATGATCATTTTTCAGTAACACGGCGACATATTGATAATTTAATAATTAACAATGACACAAACGATGACATAACAACAACACGACGATGATATAATGATGACTGATCATTTCTGCAACCAACTGTCAAAATATGTTTATTGTAGCTAGTTGCCCCAACTCAAAAAGGGCTGTGTAACAAGAAAATTTGATTTCAAAATTCTTCTGTTTATTTTAAGGATTCATTCAGATTATATGCAGATGTAACTTTGAGGATGTGAAGAAATGTCCCACATCGGAAGTTTACTTAACTTGCATGTGCTTGTAAGGGTTGGGCTACTCCTTGCGTTGCCAATTGGTTTCATGGTGGAACCTCAACTTCCTTCAATTATTATGAAAAAATGAATATTTTTTTATGAGGATTAGTTTCATCGTGTCAAATGGAGTTCTGAGGTGCATTTAATTCGTCATACTTTGCATCAATGCCCTGCATCAAACCTATGCATGTTTACATATTAATCAAAATCCAGCTGAGCTTCTATAGTTTATCGTACTTATATTTTCTTTTAAAGTTTATTTGAGATAAGTGAATATTATACTTCAATACTCGTTCTACAAGTAGTTCAGAAATTAAGCTTAGGATCACCAAGTCATTGGTTCATGATGTCTTTACATTCTCGTTTTTGTTTTAACTTTTATATTTCATCTTATATGCAACCATAATGTAATACTGGATAATCTTATTATATTCTTTGAGCCATATTGTTCTTTACTTTGTAACTTTGATTTTTTTCTCACTTTTTGGTCCTGTGTATGCATGCATGCCTGTTCAAAGTTGTTCTGAAATTCATTCCTCTTATCCTGACATTTTCTTGATTGATGAATGAAATAATGTTGTTGTCTTCTGTATGCTTTTCGTCTTCCGATGATAGTAGTAGTACGACAGCTATGAGGTTGGTTATCTTTTCCTGGAGTTAACTAACGCAAGGAATGGACTGAAAGTATCATAATGTTCACTCTTACCACATTTTGTACGGTAACTAGTATGCATAATCATGCTGCTAATTTGAAGTCATGATGCTGCACCTGGATTCTTTAACTAATTCAGTTGATTAATATTGCGAATCTAAGAATTTGAACCTTCTACCTGTTGGCTAGATAAGAAACCCCATTTTGTTTTCTGTCAGAGGGTATAAAAGAAATCCCTTGTAACGGAATACGAAGTTTAATCAGGATTTGGTTCTCATGTTTCAAATGAAATTGTAGAGAGGATTTGTTTCTTGCTATCCCCTTAGCTATTTTGTGTTATGGCTTAAGTCATCATTTACTTAAAAACTAAGCACCCATCATCTCTTCATTTCTTCTTTTATTTTATTTTATTTTTGGCTAGGGGAATTGAATGCAGAGAAGATGCAGGCTGTGCTACCCATTTTCTTAGTATTGTACTCAAATCTTGAATATTTTGTTGCAGGTTTTCTGAATCTTGATGATTCTTTAGAGAAACAGTCGGAAAGAAAAGTACTGGATTCTGAATTATCACCTACTAGTACATTGAAAACCAAGGAGAAGCATTACAAACTTAATTTCCCTGGTGAAAATCCTTATGAGCACTCTTACCTCTTTGATTCAGATGTTGTAAATGTGGATGCTTCCGGAAAGGTCTTAATCATGTCTGTTCCTGTATTTCGATGGAAAGACTTATCACATTCCATGTTCACAAGTGAAAGTAGTATGAAGTTGGATAGCTTGAAGCAAAATTCTTACCATGGAAGGACGTCAGATGAAGACCACACAGAACTAGCTACTCAAGGTGGTGCCAGTGGAGATGTTAAAACTATTCAGATGAAAAGCATAAAGTATGAGAATTCACTTAGCTCTAGATTGTGCAAGTCCGAAATCTGGATGGAGAAAACATTGAATGGGGCCGAAAAAATTCCTCGAACTACAATTTTGAAGGGAGATTTGTTAAGTAAAGGAGATAGTGTTTCCGACACACCTGATGTTCTGGAAAACAAGGCATCATTGTTGCTCACAGATGAAGACAATGGTATTTCGAGAGATGGTGAGCTCAGTCCACGGCTTACTAATTTAATGGAAAGTGGAGTTGTTCCAGAGTCTCCTATCAACACTAGCGGTTAGTAATGCACTTAGTAAGATTTCATTTTAATTCAAATTGGGATAAGCTTTCCTGAGATTGCTATTGTCCCCTAGTATGAAAATTGATGCTAACATATGATGCAGGACTATCAAATAACTCAAATGAGTATGCAGTTCCTGTCCCTGTTTCACCTGCCCAGTTACATCCTGCAAATAGAGAAAAAGTAAGTACGGAAAACAATGCCTGTGGAGGAAAAGTCTCTGTTTCTTCTATGGATACTGAAATTCGAACTCCATTCCATAACAAGCATAGTAGTGCCAGTATAAGAGGCTGTACCTCCGCATCACCAATTAGTGGAAGAGCTAATACTGTTTTAGCTGACCTTACAAACAATAGTTGTGGCAAAGATTGGAATTTAAGTTCTGGAGACAAGTCGGAAAGTGTTAAAGAGGCACGCAAGTTTAGAAGGTTGTGCAAAGTCGGGGATCGTTGGAGAAGTAGGAATCGAGAAAACGTGACAAATAATGTGGGGTCAACAAGAAACCTTGCTAGATCATTTTCTAAAACTGGTTCACTCCATTCGAAGCACAATAGAGGTACCGTGAATACAAGAGAGATGCTAGTTTCCCTTCCCGTATTCTTTATCTTTTTGCTAATCTATCTATTTTTGGAGTTCGATGCTTACTGACTAGTTTTTAGCGATCCTCATTTCCGTAATTTAAAGTGCAACCACACCAAGTCTTTTAGGACTGCCTTTCAGATACTAATCTTTTTATGTGACCTATTTACCGATACATTGCTGTTGTTACTTAGGTAAAAAGAATTCAATTGATGATGTAAGGGCCTTCATCGAGGAGGAAGCTGAGTAAGATCATACTTTTTCTATATTAGAATGGTGTGGCTTAGGTTTTATTTTTTTTTTTTTTGGTAAATTTGTGTTGCAATTTCACCTAACAGAATAAAGAATGTTTACTGTTTGATTTTTTGTTTTGTTTTTGTGGGGTAATAAAATGAAGCTTTTGTTGAAAACTAATATTTGAAATGCTGTTACTCCACTGAAATTACTCAGGGTATCTTCAGAAGCTGGTATGTCTGATGATGAGGAAGATGATCAAGACAACTATTCAAATGATAGTTTCATAGATGACAGAATAAATCCTACAGCTGCGGCTACTCAGTCTGCAAGTGGTGGAAATGATATGATGGCAATATACAGGTCTTTCATCTCTCTCTCTCTCTCTCTCTCACACACACACACACACACACACTCCGACACATTTGAATGGATGATCAAGTTGTTCACTTGGTCGTGGAGTGAGCACTCTGTTCTTCACAAACCATTACCGGTTTGACTCAACTACTTTTCATAATGTAGCCTTTCATATGAACTGGGTAGTTGTCGGAATTTTTTTTTTTTGTTTTGAAAGTCAATATTATTGAATACTCCATCTTGGAAAATGTATTAGAACTTGAATCCAACTTTTACTTTGTTTCACATAAAGGTGCTGGTTCCAAAGTTTTTGCTATCTTTTAAGGAACTTGGAAACTAATATCCAATTGTTATAAGAATTTAGATATAACTTTGCAAAAATTAAAATTACGTGCAGTTGATTAATCTTCCCTTGGAAGCGGTGGCGGTTGTTTCTCAAAACTACTTTACAACTAGTGGGTCATTTAGAATGAGATTATTTAGCTGAACTTCCTTTCTCTCTTAAAATTTCTAAGTTACAAACCGAAGTGACAGTTGGAGTTGCTATGCCCCATGTAAAACCATTTACCAGGCCCCAATCCTCCTGCATTTGGCCGGTGAACTGTGCCATCAATGTAGTTGCTTAGGTTTCTTTGTTTCTGTAACCTGTATTAAAATTCTAATAAAAGTTTTCTTTGATTTCTTACAAAGGCGTTCATTGCTCACCCAATCACCCATGGGGAGGCAGCCAGTTAGTTCTGCGGTATATTCACCTGATTCTGTGGCAGCGACAACGAGGACAACCGAAACTGGAAGTTCCTGTGGCAAAACATCGTTCTCTCTCCAAACGCCCCTAAGTGACGGTACAAATCAATCAACCAGGATGGATTCAAAGTCCTTGGAAATGAACCGGGTAAGGGTAGACATACCTTGTACCGGTGGTGTTTCCCCAGAATACGAGAGAGATGTTGAAAGCCGCAAAAGAAAATTGAGCTGTCATCATTCAAGATATCCTGCAGTCAACTTGGAGCGAGAATTCTCGCTCGAGTCAGAGGCTGCAGGCAGAGACTTGCAGCGCATTGATGCAAACGATGACATGCTTGACGATCAGTTTTTCGAGGGTCTTGATCTTGACGCAATGGAAGCGCAAGCTACATTGCTTCTTAAACAGAAAACAGAAGCGCCAAGGCCGCAGGAGCAGCTTCTGGTTCCCAAGTTGTTCGAGCCGACATTTGATCTTGGTATATAATAAACTTACAGGAAACACATCTAACTGATATTGTTTCTCACTAATTGAGATTGTTTATCCATGATTGGTTGCAATTTATTTATCGTTTATCTAAAATGACAAAAATACTTTTGAAATTTGTTATATCATATTGGCCCACTGCTTATTAAATTAAGGGTATTTTTCTTATTTTGGTCCGAATTTAACATAATTTTTTCTCGAAATGATCAAAATGATTAATGGTGGATAAACTTAGAGATCACTTCCATTGATTTCAAATCTTATGGACCAAAATAAAGAGCTATATTAATCTCACTGACCATTTCGGTTAAAATGGCGCCAAAGAATGACCTTTTGATGGGTGCAAATGTAGTCTTTTATTTTTAGTACAACAATATATTTTACATTAAGAGGAGGAAGAGTTCGTCATTCATGAGATTTAAGTCTAAAACCTCTTTCTTGCTCATTAGTAAGATATATAAAAAAAGGTTTAGTTGACTCCTTTGGAACTTTAATCTTAATTAGGGGTGATTTTTAGACGGATTGAATCAGAAACAACGTTTTCATTCCAAAATTTTGGAATAGGATCAAATTGGGTTAAAATTGTCAAATTCGGAATATTCGGAATCCAAATAACTTTGAAAATTTCGGAACATAATTAAAAAATTCATGTAATTACAGAAAACCCTCCATAAATGAATAATGTTGGGACTAAAAAAGTTATTACTATAGAGAGGCTATTATACATCGATAAATGAATGTTTATTAATTTATGCAGAATTTTATATTTTGTTCATTTTTCTTTTTCGTGATAAGTATCTTTTAAAAAAAGATACATGCAATTTATGTTTTTGAATATTCTGGAATTTTACATGCAATTTATTGTTCTATTTAATGAATGGTATAAGCTTATATATAAATTCAATTATTTTTTTGTTCTACTAATATGCTTATCCTTTTTAATAAAGTGTATGATTAATATAAAAAAATAAACAAAAGTGTCATAAACATTGTATTTAAGTGTGATTGTGTAAATTCTAAATTAGATTTGCTACTAGCTATTTTTTCCTATTAGGCCTTGTATTCCTTATAGGAGAAGGATTCTTTCCTCTACACAACCGTACACACACATCTCTCTCTCTCAGATAAAATAAGCCACAACAATAAGTATCCAAAACTAACCATAAAATATATAAGTTTACAAAATGCATAATTTGAGTAAATACCTATAAAATATCAAAAAATTTTTGTCAGAATAAGTTCAGAACACTTTGAAAAAATTTGGATTGAAAATTTGAAATTACCGAACCTTAGATGCGTTCCGATTTTTATTCCAAAATTTCCGAAATTATTCATATTCGGAATTTTTGGGTTTAGATTCGGAAACGAAAACGCCATTTCTAACTTGCACTTAGGCTAAGTTTGGTATCCCATTGGAAATAACTTCGTATGCCTTTTACTTAGGGGGATGAGAAGTGAAAAATTTCATACCTATATCAGCAAAGATGAGAAAGGAACAAGAAACTACTACTTTTTGGAGATATTGACCTTTTCAATTATCATTGAGGGTAGGTTAATCATACCAAAAAAAGTAATAAATGGTTTATGTTGGTTTCCCACGAGGAAGGAAACTTTCCTCCCTATCTTTTCATGACCAGGAATTTATTTCCCAAGCCTGCCCTTATAAAACATGGGAAATACAACACTTTCCCATTCCCAAGCTCACTTTCCGTTAAACCAAACACACCCTTAATTTTTTCGTTAAAACTAAAATATCTTCACTTTGCACTCTGAAATTCTCTTTGCTCCACTTTGGCAAAATTCTGTCAAAAGTGCTGACTTGGAAGGATAATAGTGCAAATTCATCACAATTGGCAATGAGGACCCGATTTCTACTGGGAGCTCGATCTCCTACGAAAATTCGATCTTAGGCAAAAATTTTGATTTCACGCGAAAATTTTGATCTCCTTGAAACTCAATCGATTGCGGGTTTAGTGATCAGGGCTTAGGTCTTGGTTTCATGACTCAAGATTTGGTTTCTAGCGAGGTTCCCTAGAAAAACCAATCTCAGATAGAAAATAAGAACTTTCTTTTTGATGTCTAAGTCGGACTCGATGTTGGTTGAAGATAGATTTCTAAAGAGACTGTTTGTACCCAATATTACATGTTGAATGAATAACTCGATCGTTGTGGGTTTAGTGATTAGGGCTTAGAAGATTTGGTTTCTAGCGAGGCTCCCTAGACAAACCAATCTCAGACAGAAAATAAGATCTTTCTTTTTGATGTCTAAATCGGACTCGACGTTGGTTGAAGATAGATTTCTAAAGAGACTGTTTGTGCCCAATATTACACGTTGAATGAATATAGTTCTAAAACATTGAATGAAAGAACTGTTAGGACAATTTTTTGTGGATGTTATTATGATTTCATTTATAATCATAGTACTTGTGTCGGGAGGTTATCTTGACGTCTATTTATCAATATCAAGATGGTGTTATCAACAATTGGGATGATTTGGGTCCATGCATGTGTTTACCCATATATGGTTTACTAGTGATGCAATTCCAACAAATTTGCCGTGTGGTCTTGATAGCCAGCATGCAGTGCCGTGGATTGTCAAGGCTTTCAAGGGATAATCATCACCACCAAAGAATGGTCAGTTATCACCAAATAGGATCTTATCCGGATCTTCTTTGTAAAGATCTCGGCTGTTCATTCATCTGTCATCATGCAGCTATAAATTATTTTGAATTTTTTTATTTAAAACTAGTAGAGAGTGTGACATTCCACATCGTCCAGGGTGTGATCCTTATATATATATTCTCATCCCTACCTAGCACGAGGCCTTTTGAGAGCTCACTGGCTTCGGGTTCCATGGGAAATCCGAAGTTAAGCGAGTAGCGCACGAGAGCACTTCCATGATGGGTGACCCATTGGGAAGTTCTCGTGTGAGTTCCCAGAAACAAAACCGTGAGGGCGTGGTCGGGATCCAAAGTGAATATTGTGCTATGGTAGTGGAGCGGGCCAGGAAGGTGATCCGCCCCGGGCCAGGATGTGACAAATTGGTATCAGAGCCTAACCTTGACCGCGTGTGTGCCGACGAGGACGTCGGGCCCCTAAGGGGGGTGGATTGTGACATCCCACATCGCCCAGGGGTGTGATTCTTATATGTATATTCTCATCCCTACCTAGCACGATGCCTTTTAGGAGCTCACTGGTTTCGGGTTCCATGGGAACTCCGAAGTTAAGCGAGTAGTGCACGAGAGCACTCCCAAGATGGGTGACCCATTGGGAAGTTCTCGTGTGAGTTCCCAGAAACAAAACCGTGAAGACGTGGTCGGGGCCCAAAGCTGACAATATCGTGCTACAGTGGTGGAGCGAGCTCGGGAGGTGATCTGCCCCGGGCCGGGATGTGATAGAGGGCACATATTTTGTGTGTGTGGATAATTTCTCTTAATAACTGCATATTTTTCTTAATATTACATAACTATTGTTTTGTCCTCCTTATGTAAATATTGTATATCAAAAGTGAGGGTAAAATTGGAAAAATAAGTATAAAAAGAGGGTAAATTAGGAAAAATAAGAATATGGTTGTCATTTTGTCAAAATGTACAAAATTACTATTTTGCCATTCTTTGTCAATAGTGTGTATCAAAAGTGAGGGCAAAATAGGAAAAAAAGTGGCAACAAGTTGACAAGCAGGGTTCTCTTAATAATAGTATAGATTAAACATAAACAGTACCTGATAAAAACTGATAACACGATATACATTGAACGAACATGATGAAATAATCACCAGAATCCTCATAAAGAGGATCCAAAGATGATCCTCATCTAGTTATCACCAAGGAGTCCCTATCATTATTTGTGAGATAAATCCTTGATCTAAATAATGTTTAACTAACGATGGAGATATTGATTAGGATGTGGTGGTGTTTGGTAATGATCATCACGTGTCTTTATCTGAGGCCATAAGCGTTGGTTGTGCATGGGATTATCCACTAATTGGCAAATGATTAACATGGCCATGCATGTTTCACAAATATAGTTGAAGCTGCCAAAATTGATGTAAAAGATCTTAAATTTAGTAGTGAATTGCATAGCTTTTCTTCAGGTTCTAGAACTCTAGGTCGAGAGTGTTCATTCCTCGATCATAGTTGCTTGGTGCAGAAGTCAACAACGCGTTTCATCACCACATCACCGCATTTAATCTTGGTTGCTGATTGTGTTTGATTTATTCAATTTCGATGACCATAAATAAAGATGTGTGTGTGAAAGTCATTTTCTCTTATTTTTTTTAACAAATTTAGCCATGGTAGCCCTCCACAAGCATTTTTTTTTTTTGTAACAAACAATATTATCTACACTAAGAGAACGAGATGAGCCTAACCTCATAATAGACTAACAATAATGTGATTTAAATTCGTCTTTCAGGAAGAATCAAACCTAAGACCTCTCACAAATAAAGATGAATATTACTAAATACTATTAGAACGTAATACTAAATATCTTATTCTGACATTTAGAGTCTCAAAATCACCTTAGTTCTTCTGTATATCCGCCATTAGATGTACCCATACCTTGGTCTATTCTCGTAAACAGAGGAAAAACTGTCATAATCACATGTAATTAAATATTTTATCAGTATTTAATTAGCTTACCAAACCACCACGTGGAATTTAGTTAGTGGGGAAGGAATTGGCAAGTACAAAAAAAACAGTGTTTTAAATGAAAGAAGACCAACGGATAAAACAAGTTGATAGCGGGCGTGCCTGCGGAGTGCGGGCAGTGAGGCGTTCAATGCGGGCAGTGAGGCGTCCCATGCTGGGTCAGAGACGGAGACCCTTGCGGAGGCTCACACGGTGTCGTTTTACCCACGTTGACTAATCACTCGAGCTCTCTCACCGGCTATTCCCGGTCTACTGTCTTACACTTCATTTTGCCTTTTGTCCATTTTTTTAAAGGGTTATTTTACTGCATCTCATATGTTGTTGATTACACCGTACGCATCTACTTTTTAAATTAAAAAATATCTTAATACACCTCGCATTATTTTTCAAGCTACCCTCACATTCTAAACTCTTTACATACACCCTATA